CTTTTTCTCTGTGGATTGCATTTTCACATTTGGTAATGGTGTGTTTTGATGAGCAGAAGTTCTCAATTATAATATATTCTAGATTTTTTTCTTTTTGCTTTCGGTTTGTTTTTGATAGGCTAAAATATAGTTACAGGAAGAGCATGCCAAACAACTTTATGTTTGAATAATTTTTATTACAGACTAATTTTCTTTTGTAGTCGTAAATATGTTCCCTCATTACCAAAGTGCAGTGCAATAAAAGTCACATTTCTCTTTAATGTAATCATATCATTTATTTCAATTATTTTCTTCTCCCCTCCTTGAGATGTCTTTTTCATGATTAGCCAAAGAAGCTCCCAGTGTACTTTTCTGTGTCTGAGTGACTGTTGACTAAAATCAGAATTCAGATGGGACCTCTTGAAATCAGAGAATATGACTAATACCACCAACATTCATTTCTTTGAAATAGACCTTAGTATGGCCAAAGCAGACAGTGCTGTGGCCTTAAGTCTGAGTAGGCCCATCTTTCCCTGCTGCCACTACCACTGGGACGTGTGCTCACCACTGACTCTGGTTCAGGGAAAAGTGACTGAATTTTCTGCCTGTGACACGGTTGCTTACACCGCCTGCCTCTTTCAACCATGATCGTTCTTTAAACGTGAGGGAAAACAGTCCTCCTCTTCCCAGCCCGCCCAGGGCTTTGCTCAGTGAGGAACATTCCATGGCAAAATTATAGCTGGGCTTCCAGGCTCACAGCTTTCTACACTGACTGATACCATCATTGCTGCAGGGCTGCATCTTCCCCAGACCTAGGGGATGGCTGGGAAGGACAGGAACGCGTGACGTACAGAGGACCGCTTTTCCCGTCAGTCCCCTGACTTGGTCGTGGCCCAGCCCTCATGCCCAGTCATTTCCCTGCCCCCAGGTGACCCATGATCAGGGCCTTCCCTGCCTTTCTCTGCACAGCACCCTGGTCAGAGAGAACCCCTGTACTCTGACAAGCTTCTGTAACTTTGGATTTTGAAGAGAAGTGTGGGGATCTTGATTTCTTTTTTCCTCTAAGGCCCCTGGGCAAATTACACAGTTGTTCCCAGTTAATCCTCAGTAATATTCAAGCACAGCACATAAATAATTTGCCATTAAAAAATGAAAGGTCTTCCTGCCACAAAAGTAGTGGAAAATTGGCATAGGAAAGAGCCAGCTTGTACTCTGTGACAGTAGCATCTGTCACTTAGTCTAACTTCCTGAGAGTGTGGAATGTGATAAAGGGATTGGGCTCAGTCTCTACGCAGCACCTTGCACACTTATTTAGGTGCAGTATCCCAATACTGTTATGTAAGGGAACAGATTCAGTTATATTCATCCACGTAGAAATGTTGGGTATTTATTTCACAGAATACTCAGTGTTTGTGAAGTTACGGAATCCATTATATCTGATATAGTATGGCAGGTAAATTGATAGAAAATTAATTGGAAGACAGTTCCAAACACAATAACTCAGCAGAAACCTCCAGAATCAATTAATCAAACTGCAACTCATTTTAATTGGACATACTCTAACCCAGAAAAGTCATTGGAATCTTTAATTAAGCTTTCAGGCCCAATCCTATTTACATTAGTCATGTTTTCCTGAACAGTTACATCTTAAAATAAAAGGTTATTAACTTGAAACCTAATGGTAAAGTAAAAATCCTCAATACATGTGTGCTGCAAATGTTTATATCTAATTAGACATTACATTTTTTGGGTAATTTAAAAATGTAGTTTAAAACTGTTTGATTAGGCAACCATTAACTCTTTAAAAGTATGGAATTAAGAAGTCCTGTTTACAAAACTGTTGATTTTCGTCTCACTATTACGAATGCTCTTTAGGCATGTATTTCACATGTCTACATGTGTATTTTCACCTGTTAATATCCCCATCCTCTGACTTTCCTCTCCACGGGGTATCTATTTCTGCCACTGACACCATGTTGTGCTCACGTCTCTCTGTCTAAATCCATTACTAGACTGTGAGATCTCTGAGACCACGATTAGTTGCATATAACTCTGTACCTCCAATGTCAGACAGTGTCCAGCAAAGAGCTGCTAAATAAAGCTTGCAGAACTGAAATGCCATTCAAACCAAAAGTGGTCTGAGGAGAAGAAAATGGAAGTTTTCTTCTTTGACCATATTCTTATATGGAGAGGAAAGGGGCGGCCTTGTAGCGAAAGGCCAACTGTAGGTTTTAGTCTTAACTCTGCCTCTGACTAAACGTGTTAATTCTAAAATTTCTCAGCTATGCCCATGGGCTAGTCCCTGGACTTTTCTATGCCTCTAGTTCCTCGTCATCTGAAACAAAACAGCAGAAAACAAACAAGAATGAATGAATTGGAACCAGTGAAAATGGATTATTCAGTTGTTGGACTCTGGGTTATTTAGTTATTATTATGTCACTGGTAGAATGAGACAAACCCCTAAATCAGAGAGACTGTAGATGTTTCAGAGTGACAAATGCATAACAGGCCATGATTTAATGTTACTGTATACTATAAACTCTACACTGTGATTTAAAATACTGTAACACGAAGTCCATGAAATACACCAGGAACACACCTCTAATCCAGATTTCACTGTATCTGGCCCTCCTCCAAAGAGTGCCTGGGCCAAAGCTAAAACCAAGGCTGCAGGCTGCCTTCCTTTCCCAGGAAAGAAAACTCCAGCAAGGATGCCGAAAGAATCTCTGTCACAGACTTGACTGAGCCCTAGACTTTCTTACTGAGTTGAGTTAGCAGCAGCTTTGATGTGGAAGGAAGAGAAAAGATGTCCTCGAGGTAAGGGGAGAAGAGAGACTTCAAGGATGGCAGGAGATTGAGTAAATGTAGGACGGATGAAACAATTGTGTCAGCAATTCTGAAACTCTGGGATAAAAGCAAGTCCTTCTCTTCCTTGCCCACATAAACTGGAATTGTAAGATGTCTGGCTCCGTACCATACTTCATCAGGATTTATAAATAGAAAATATGACCCACACCCTTAAGACTTTCATATTCTTCATTGAAAAGACACAAATTATGTCAACTGAAGCCATTTGAATACAGATATTTAAATACAGTCATTTGAAATATAAGACTAAGTAGCATTAGTACCATGAGTTCAGAATTCTCAGAAATTCTTTTATTGTCCTTTTCATGGTGTTTCATTATCCAAAAACATAGAATTAATTGATTCAGAAATATTTATTGAGTTTTATCGACAATCTCAGTCCCAGGGACCCAAACATCCCTGTGAGGAAAGGCTGTACCTCTCTTCAACTTTTGAAGCACCAAGCTCCCATCTACTACTCCTAAGGTACAGTTGGTTTAGTGAATGAGTGTGTTAATTATTTACTAACAGTAAATTCATTGAGAAGTAATAATTATTATCAATATTAATTGATAATTAGTTATAATTATACATAATTATAATTATAGATAATTATAATAGTTGCACAGCTATTATGTGTCAGGCACTGTTCTTTGTTCTGGGGATATAGTGTGATTGAAATAGCCCTTATTGAATGTGTATTTTGCTGGAGATACACTGATAATATACAAGGAACACTGTACAAAAGTAAAGCTTTCTAGATGATGACAAAGACGTACTTATTTAGGGTCTTTCTGGCCAAATTTTGGTTCTGAAATACCAAAAAATAAACAAAAAACCAAAACCAAAAAACCTGTTGAATCTCTGAGAATAGGAGACCTTAGTTAAATGAGGCTAGATTAGGAACTAGCTAAATGAAGTTGGGGGTGGGCGTGTAGGGAGAGTTAACACATTCTGGGAAGAGAGTACAGGTACAGAGCAGGTGTAGGATCCTGGAGGTGAGGCAACATCGTCTGTTCAAAGATGAAGCTCCTTTTGAGAGGCCCCAAGGCCACCTAACTGTCTCTGGGTAAACCGCCCAGATTATTTAGACTAGGACACTATTTTCCTCCTTCAAATTCTGAGCATTAATGTATGGTATTCCTGGGCACCAGTGTATGTGCAAGTGCACCCAGAGCTTACATTCCCATTAAGATAGTGCTTTAAGTGACTGTCTGCATCAGGTTCACCTGTGTGCTTGTTGACCGTTTAGATTCACAGCCTTTTTTTCTGGTCCACACAATCAGTATTTCTTGGGACAAGCTCCTGACCCTGTATTTTAAGAAGCCTTGCCATGTAGTACTCATATTCCTTAACGTTTGAGAACCTCTGCCTTAGAATAGCAGGGTCTGATTCTACCCAAACACTGTAAACCCCTTCAAGGGTGACTTGGTAAATACATGTTGTTATATATTATTCAATAAATGTTACACCACTGTGTGTCCTCATTAATCCCCTTTCCTGATTTCGTTGAGAATCTCTAACAATGAACATTGGTCCAACACTTAAAAAAAATTCACTGGGAAATATGCCTGACAGAAGCAAATACTCTGGTGCTCAAACTGATGCTGTGTGTTTTTGATGAAAAGATAACAACCAAAAGATCATATCAACGCACAGTCAAGTTAGAAAAACTCAGGGATTCCTTCATAGTTCTCACTAAATTAAAACTGTCCCGGCATCAGGATCAGGTTTCAATGTGAAGGACGAACCACACTTACCCACAAATATATGCTTATTTAAAATTGCAAGAAAAAGGTTAGTTTCTACATAAGAATATCAATGCATATCACTGTTATTTTGAATGAAAGAGACTTTAAGTTCTTTAAAATAAAGAGACTGATTAAAAAAAGTCTCCAATTTAAAGTTTAATAGAACTCTTTTAGAAAACAAATCTATAACAAATTCAACCTTTGGGGAAAAAAAACATGAATCAATGTTTTATCTTTTTGAATTCTTCTACTATTTTGTCACAAATCGTGCTTCTAAAAGTATATTGGCTCTTCAGACTCCAGTGGTTCTCTGTTAAGGCCATGATTTTGGCCGCCCTCTGTGAGGCCTCAGTTTTGTGTGGTCTTAAAATCCTGAACAAAACACCTAGGAACGTGTTTGCATTTGCAGTATTTCTCTTTTAGGTGGAACGGCCACCCGACAGAGGGGCTTTCTGGGATGCATTCGGTCTCTGCAGTTGAACGGAATGGCCCTGGACCTGGAAGAAAGAGCCAAGGTGACTCCGGGAGTGGAGCCGGGCTGCAGAGGGCACTGCAGCAGCTACGGGAAGTTGTGCCACAACGGCGGGAAGTGCAGGGAAAAGCCCAGCGGCTTCTCCTGTGACTGCACCTCCTCTGCATACGCAGGGCCGTTCTGCTCAGACGGTGAGTGTGACGTGGGTGCCCCAGCAGCAAGACAATCCAACGTGAATAAAACCTCCCACAGTTCTTTTTCTCTGTAGCTATTTGAAACAAAAGTATTTCCATTTCTGAATTTTTTTTGGCAAATGGCCTATTTTATGCCAATGACATTTCATTACTTAAATATTTGCCGCGGTTCTTTGAACACCGTGTTTATCGATGGTAAACCCTGTAATAGTCGCCTCTAGGTGTTGTAGAGTGTTGGCTGCGCAGTCTGATCTTTTCTATCTACAGCTAATGCTCTTAAGTAATATGGGTGTCAACAACCAGTCCCATGGGCAGTTCTCATTTTTCAAATCATTAAAAGCATTATTGTTATTTTTGAAGATGGTCAGCAATGCAAAGACATTTAGGAAGCTTTGTTGTTTTACCAAACAAATATTATTTCCAGGAATATAAATAACATTTCCGTTCAGTATTGATGTGTAACAACATAGAGATACGCGGTCGTTTTGCTCTGTGAAATGCCTACTGTCTGTTGGTGAAGTGAAACAGTGGGCTGTTTTTCAGCTGGTCTTGTTCACTGATCCGTGTCATGGAAGAAGGAACGAACTGAGTGTAGTGCTCAGCGTTCTGAACAGACTTCCATGAATAGACAAATGTTTGCTATAGTTCCTCATAGAAGAATGTCAACCAGTTTAATTCAGTTGCTTTATTTAAGTGTTTCTGGGCTACTGAACCTTTACCTGAAGGAGGCTAACGAAAACTGGCTGCAAATTGAATCAGTCCCTGATTTGCAATGAAAGCCTTTGAGATTATTTAATGGAAAGTTGGCCAAAGTGCACTCTTCAGGTCATCTACTTTTTATCAGGAATAAGTTATCATTTGAAATCAACCTGTGGTAATCAATCACTGCTGCTACCATTCTATGCTTCTCACGTTTAAAGTTAGAACTAAGACCCGTGTCTTTACATCCTCATGTCTTTATAAGAGGATGCCTTTGTTTTCTGGATCTAAGTGATTTCCAGTTCATCTTGCTAAGTGTAATCAGGAATATTATTCTGCATCCACATGTTATGTAGTATCTCAAACGTGTATCTATACGTAGTAAAAATAATAAACAGGCAAAAAACCTAAAGCCCTGAGGGAGTGGAGATGTTGCTACATTTATCCGTGAGCATCATCTGAAGCTCACGTTCAACAACTGCCCTGTATAGTAATGGAGGAAAGCAGAGTTCTGGGATCCCGAGCTAGTTACCTCTCCCACCACCTTCTTCACTTTTATACAAATCTATTTGGTGTGTGTGTGTGTGTTTATGTGCGAATTTAGGATATTAATCTTGTGTAAGTAAAATGATTTTTAAAAGTGTGGATAGTTATTTTTTAAATTTGAAAAGTATCAGTATAACCGAGACAACATCCTTGTTTCTTAAATTTTTTAATGTAAAATGTGCTTATCATTTCAGAGATTTCTGCCTATTTTGGATCTGGCTCATCTGTGATTTACAATTTTCAAGAAAATTACTCCCTAAGTAAAAATTCCAGCTCCCACGCGGCTTCATTTCACGGTGACATGAGGCTAAGCAGGGAAACGATCAAGTTTAGCTTCCGCACCACACGGACCCCGAGCTTGCTGCTCTACGTCAACTCCTTTTATAAAGAATACCTTTCAGTTATCATTGCCAAAAATGGTGAGCGCTGTTCAGACGAGGGAAAACTGGGTTAGAACATTAGGTCAGGAACAATGTGGATCCTTCTCATGCTCCCGCTGCTCAAACTACAAACAGGAAAAGAAGTGTGCCTGTCCTGTGTATTCAGTTTTGTGTTTTCAGTACTGTCCTATCAGCTTAATCTAAAAGGACTATTTAAAACACTTAAAATGCCTGTATCGCTTTATAATTTTGGTAATTTAACACAATCAGTGTGAATTTTTAATTTATGTAGATAAAATATTTATTATATTTTATCATTGCTAGGATCACTTTACTCTTCCATGTATCAGTATCAGTTTTGTGGTTCATTTTGAAATAAGATGCCTATTTGTACATAACAAGTAATTTCCTTTGAATCAAAGTAGAGAAGTTTTGAGAGAATGTTAACAAACTAGCATTATGTGTAAGAAAACTTCCACAAAATAATCTGTTGGTTCTGATTTTCGGCCATAAAGTAGTCACGGGAAATGCTAGTACATCGATGTAGGGTAATGGTATGTGGCTTAGGACGTGTGTGCTACAGAAAACCACTTACTGTTATTGTTCTCTTCCCTTTATCTGGATTAGAGATAAAAATGTTATGAGTAAATCCTCTGGGTGAGGAAAACAAACGAACATACAAACATGTGAATATATCATTTCAACTAAATCAAATATGGCCCAAGGTCACTGAACACCACAATAAAAATAATATTGTCCAATAAGTATATTTCTCCTCACTGTATACATTTTGAGCTTGAAGCTTATCTATATATATTAGGACATTTTCTCTGTTAAACTGGAAGATATCCTGTGAAGTAAATTTATTGACATCTTTGCAGGCAATTAAGTGAGTAGTGTTTGCTTATAATAATTCCATTCATCAGTTGCATTTCAGGAATGGTAGATATATATTTTTTGAAAGATGAGATGATAGAAACAGCGTTATTGCAATATTCCACGGTAGTTTGGCGCTTCATAATATACTAAATCTTACTTTTTAAGTTAGAGGCTAGTACAGGGATTTGCAAATGCTTGCTCACATATTTGACAAATTAAAATTTTGCAGGAAAGAGCCTGCTTATTCGCAGCATATTTGCTCTTGATTTTGAAAATAGTGCAATTTCACATGGAAACTGACTTCTAGGGATTATGAGGAAAGGATACATGCAAATGAACTACTGTGAATTTTCCCCCAGAAATAAATAAATATCAAAACAGGACTCTTGAGTTTTTTTAAGTCGTTTTTAAAATACAATTTTAACTAAAATATAACTTTTTCCCCCTACTTTAGGAAGTTTGCAGATCAGGTACAAGCTAAATAGACATCAAGAACCCGATGTTGTTAACTTTGATTTCAAAAACATGGCTGATGGACAGCTTCACCACGTAAAGATTAACAGGGAAGAAGCAGTGGTCTCTGTGGAGGTAATAGAGAAAATGCAACAGAAGCAATGGTTGAAATTATGCTCCCCGGCAAGAAGGACCTACAGCAGAAATTGGATAATGGATAGATTAAACAAAGACATCCTTTCAGTTGCTGCTCTTGGATAGATCATAGACCATCAGACGTGTTCAGTGTTTTTAAGCAATAAGATTCTGTCCAAAATATTATTAATATTTGATACTTAAAATTGCCAAACTTTCCTATTTGTTTTGCTTTACTCAGGAGGGAAATACTTTCTAGTTTAGCATATTATGCTATTGGTAAGAGCATTGCTACTCTAATGAAACCAGTTTACTTCAGATGGGTATGCATGCAACCATAATTCTAGCACAGAAATTAATGATTGCAATATCAGAATAAATTTTAAAATGATGTGAATTACAGCAGAGAAAGTTGAATTATTCACTCTACCAGCTTTTGAAGAAAAGCACTAATATTTCAGCCCTCTAGGTAGAGGAAAATTTCTTAGCTGAATGACTCAAGTGAAAATACCCAGCTAAGTAAAAATATCAAGATGAGAATAGCTTGTATCTTTTTGTTGGTTTTCCCCATTTTGGCTTTCTTATACAGTGGAGAAAAATAAAGTGATATAAGGGGATAGAAGGTGGGGTGCACTGGTATCTGAGGGTGCACAGAAATAGTTTAGAAAATAATATTCACCTGTATAAATGACTAACTCTTTAAACTTTGTTTTCCTCAATCTTTGGGACCATATTAACTATTGCCTATTTTATCATTTTCTTTTGTCTTCCTTTGCCTCCTGTCCTCTTCTCAACAACGGCATCCGTTTGGATGTTTGCACCTCATGTAACAATTTTATAGATTGATGAGAAAGCGAGGAGACAAGTCCACCTTGCATCAGGTACAGAACTCAGTGCGGTCAGATCCCTTGTACTGGGCAGGATTCTAGGTAAGTAAAAGGAATGGCCTTTCGCCTAATCATGATGCATAAACATGGACCAGAAGAGTCATATGCCAGACACACAGACACACACACACACAGACACAGACACACACAGACACACATACACACACGCCACATGCAAATTCATCATGCCAAAAGAAATCTCTTGCATAATTTCATTTCTGAAGTGAATGATAATCAAGGCAGAAGCTGTACTTTCTCAAGGGTATATGTAATCGTGAGTAGGGACATTGTGCAAGATGAGCAAGCATGCTACTTTGATAGTAATGCCACTCTGGCGTGTGCCACGCTGTCAGTCCAGCATAATGAAACACGGTATTGCCCTCACACTTCAAGAATATCAAATAAAAGTAGAAATAACAGACTGTGTATCAGTCAGCTGCCAAATATATAAACCATCATCTAATGATAAAACTAGGATTAGATCTAAAAGAAGATGGAGGAGGAAGCAATTGCTTTTCTGCTGCTTAGTGAATTTGCTTTAGGTTGTGGCCTGGATCCTGTTTGCCTTGTTGAGATGCAGTGGCCAGCCACTCCTGCTAGAACCCAATGACTTATAACCCAGTGTCTATCTAAATGCCTTATAATTCTTATTTCTATCCACTAGTTACTTCTGATAATAGCACTGAAGTAGAAACATACTCTTGCCATTTTAACATCAAAATATGTGCGCTTTTTTTTATACTTGCCAGCAAGGACTAAACGGAAAGAGGGGCAGTACATTTTAAAAGGGATTTTCTTTTTAGTCATAAAAGTGGGGGTGGGAGACTTTCTGTAGTCTGGTTTTCCTTCCTAGTTTGATATTTGACCCTAACCTCGAATATTTTGTCCAAGATAATGAATGGAATCTTTTATTTTTTTGACCTTTTCAGTTACTTATACCTTGATATACCATTTCTTGCATTCCCTGTACATAATCTCCGAATCTTGAGAATGTTTGATCAGACCTGTGGGTGAATGATCAAAATATCGGCCCTTGAGAAGGTTAATAGTTAAGTTGGTAAATATTTATAGGCTTTCTGGTACTATGATAAGCACCAGTATTGTACGCTCTTATTCTCCAAACAAGCAGGGGAAGTATCAATTGCATTGCTCTTCCAGTATGCTATAGTGGAGACAAAAAATATGTGCAAAGTACTACTTAGATACTTGGAAGCTTAATTGGAATATCCCAAGTGAGTTTCATAGTATAAGTTACATAAATTCAACTACAGTAATTAAAAACTCAGATAATTATAACCAATCCCGATTTCAAGAGCTCCTCAGTCTAGCAAGGTCTGAGATGAGGCATTTTACATAAAAATGTAAAATGCAAGATAGAAAATTCTAACAATTATGCATAATGTTGATAAAATCATATTTTTGAAGAAATAACATCTTCAAATTTAATGCCAGAGTTGCTGATGAAAATATTTTGTGTGAATAGAAATAAGTCAAATATATTATAAAAGAATTGGGAAACTGATCTGCATTTTATGAGGAGGATTGTATTACTCAAACAGTAGAATAATAGCATTCATTATATAAATATTTGTCTCCCTTTTTATGATGAATATCGCAGATTAATGAGGAGTTAAAGATGTTAATGTTTTCATTCAAGAACAGAGTGTTATTAAAATGCATATCACTCATGCTGAAAATTAAGATTAAAGTTCAAAAGTAAGAATTTGGTACGTGCCTAAGGTGTGGATCTTGACCAAGGACTAATATTACATTCAAATCATTTGTAACTCAAAGGAGACTAAAAATTTATGGTCATATGGTATGGTATATGAATTTACAACAAAATGTTATGTACTATATTATTATATTGTAATATGGTATATTAATTTATAGCAAACTTGATGCTAAAATGGAACTAGTAGTTTTCCAGAGAGTTACTCAGTCTTGAAGTTTCTTATTATGTTAGTCAGGGTCCTCCAAGAAGCCACTGCCAAGACAAAATTAACCATGTGAGGATTTTATTAAGGGGACACTTGTGAAAGAGAACGTGTGGAGAGAGCTTGCCAAGACTGGGAGAGCCATCAGATGCCATGCAGCTCTGCCTTCAGGTGAAGGAGAGAGGGAGGGAAAGTTAGACAGAAGCATCCTAGACTTCTGTGCAGTCAACAAAGGTTAAACAGTCTTTGGGGAGCCCATGAGTCTGTCATCCATCAGAGGAGTCCCATGTTTCCAAAGGATGGGTCTGCCTTAGAGTCCCTGCTATGATCAGCTGTTGGCTGGGAACAGCCCATGGGAAGCAAGGCACTGGCCCAAGTATGAGGATGGATTTCACAGCCCAGCAGCTGGGGCCCTTGGTCAATTCCTCTCATCTAGTTGGAGGTCTGCAAGGCACATTCTCATGTGCTCACACTTATCAACTATGTTTTTCATTTTTGTAAGTCTGTTTGGCTCCCTTGTTCATTTAGCACATACTTTGTGATCACCTGTTGTGTACACAGAGAATGCCACTCAGCAAGGCAGACACTGCATCTGCCCTCACAGAATTTATGGTTAGTGAGCATACAGATAATCATTATGCAAAATGTTCCTGTGTATCTAATTGAGTATAATGTACCCTATGTTGCTTGGGATAAAATAGTTCCAAATTATCCTCCAAATTAAAATAAATTAAAATACGGTGGGACTTCCCTGGCAGTCCAGTGGTTCGGACTCAGCACTTTTACTGCCGGGCCCCGGGTTCAATCCCTGGTCAGGGAACTAAGATCCCGCACGGGGCAGCACAGCCAAAAAAAATAAAATAAAATAAATACTTGTTTCGTTTTATAATTTCTGAATATTTCTTTTAAGGCAGCAGAAAAAAACATTGACCAGTTTTTTGGGAGGGGTTATAATTTGCCTATTTTCAACCAAAGACTTAAGGATATGACCATCCACTGCCACTTTAGATGGAAACCCAGAAATAAAGGAAATTCTTCCCCTCTTTCACTTTTCTCCAGTACTCATTTCTTAAACTTAGGAAGAATCATGGGAATAATTTTGGATTACTGTCACTATTAATCAACATTACTAGCAGGTGTTGAAAAGGAGGGTAACTTTTAGAAATAATAAGTTGTACTATGATGACATGGAAACCATCTCTAACTCCCTACTACACTTAAAATATTTAAAGACTCAATAACTTTGGCGTTAGTAGTCATTAGTAGTTGGGAGCCAGGGTGAGATGATCCAGCTGTTTGCCAAGCAGCTCGATTTAGATACTCCTGTATTCAATAAAGTACATTAAATTTGCTTTTCATATTTAAAATGCACTATAAAATTAAACTCTGGGTTCTATATCTGGATACTTTTATATGTTAGAATCATATGTTTTATGATTTATTTGAGTAGAAGCTGGATGATTATTTTCACTCATCCTGAGTAGTAGCTTTTGTATATTAGAGGTGATTGATGACCATTGAGGATCATTTCTCTCTTCTGAGGCCATAGAGCCAGGGAGTACACTCAGATTACCGCAGTGGAGGTTTAGCCCAGATGTAAATAAAGTCTGTAGTCATCTAGGAAAGGACATCTACTCAGTCTCCGATGAAGAGCTTTGAGAACAATCTCAATGTGTCAGGAACCGTTCATGTAAAACTCACTTAAGAGCCCAGACGTGAGGAAAAAACATGAGCCAGGTAACCTAAGGGCACTGCAATTTTGTAAATATATTGTGAAACGTCCCTTAAGATAATGGAGGTGTTATTTTAAAAGCACGTTTTAAAAGAGAAGTATAGTTTAGAGCAAGAAAAGTAAGGAATCTACTTAAAGTCATTTTTTTGTATTCATCAGCTTGAGTTTTGAAAATTTTAATAATTAAAATGTCATAGACCATCTTCAGTACTTAGCATGACTTCATCCTTGTGGCGGCTTTAATCGTTTCCAGACAGTCAGCTACATCACTTTGAATGGGCCATACCTAGAAACTTAAAAACAGCTTTTCTCCTCATCGTGACACCCCAGCATCGATCAGAAGTGTCATGTTCCAAAAGCACAGAGCACTCATGACGCTGAAACATATTATCTGATATTAACTATGGAGCAAATGATAAGGTAGACAGTGGGATTTTGTCAGAGGCACATATAATCATGAGTACACGCTCCAGGTGGGATGGGCAAGTGTACGCCTTTGACAAGGACGTCACCTACATCACTTTCACTTGGCCGTCAAACATCGTAAAACAGAGGTCAACTTACACTGCAAAAAATACTAAATGATAAAAGCCAAAGTCACAAATCCCAAATTATATATTTATCAGCTGCCACAATCTAGAAGCCTTCATACAATGATAAAACTCAAATAATTTCTAAACTAAAAAGGAGAAAGCAATTGTTTCTTTCTTTAATTACTGACGTGCTTTAAAATGTACCTGTACCAGGAATAAGTAAAAAATAAAGCCATGATCAGGGACTTGCACTATTGTGTGCGTGAATTTATTAGAGACCAGGCATTGATGGATGAGAGAGAGAGGATGGAATCGACAGGAGGTACGGATACAGGACCTTTGGGGTGGAGAGAGGGCACAGCCACAGCGAAGAGATACTGGACCGGCCAGCCTAATGATGGTCTATAGCACTAGTCAGAAGAAAGACAGTGAAATGTGAATTCTGCTCGTGTTGTCTGTTAAGTATAAAAGAGGGTTGGAGATGGTTTCCATGTCATCAGAGTAAGATATTGTTACCTATATATTATCCTCCTCGCTTGATAGCTGCCAGTAATGCTTGTTAATGATGATTGGAGCCAAAAAGTGTTCCTACATTCCATTCTCATTTGTAGAAGTGAGTACTGGAGGACAGAGAGAAAGCAATTCCTCTCTTTCTATTCTTCCTTCTGAAGAGGCAGGCAGTCTGATGTCGTTTCTTTGTTAAGCATGTTCAAAATGTGTTAAGTACTGAGGCCAAAGTGAATGATTCCTCAATCGGCTCCTTTAAGAGACCTATTTACTCAAAGATTATATAAAGAGACATCTCTCTATGATGTGATTATGTAATTAATCAAAGGAGATATGCAGGTATAAAGTTGTTTTGCTAATTCATTAAGCTTTTATTGGGTCACAGTTCCACCACATGAAAAAAGAAACCTCAATTAAGATCATTGCATACTCTTGAAATTGCATAAAACCTCTCATAGCAAATGTGCCCACATTTTGAATAATGATATAATTTAACCTATTACAAAATGACTGAAAATTACTATTCAGAGGCTGAGTGAAGTTCGACTATTTATTACTTTTTTATGTCAGGTATGTAATGGTGCAAGACCACTGACAGCAAAAATCGGTGGGTACGTCATGGTGGGAAGAGCCAGGTTGCATCAAATAAACTGGGTTCATATTCCTCTATAATTAATAGGCTGTATTACATTTGCTTTGTTTATCCAAAACTCATTAGATTAAGTTCTGAGTTGTGTTTACAGATTGTTTTTTATGTTAGAAGAGTTTTCTAAAAGCCTGAAGACGTTTTCACTCATTGTGAGCGGTAGCTTTGGTATATTTAAAGGCAGTAACCACATAGGGATCATTTATCTCTTCTGAGGCTGCAGAGCGAGGAAGTAACTCAGATTTCTGCAGTGGAGATCTAGGCCAGATGTAAATAAAGTATGTGGTCAGAAGGAAGAGGATGTCTACGGCATCTCACAGAAGAGCTTCAGGAACGGACTTCAATCTCAGGGACATTTTATATAAAACCTGCTTCAAAGCCAAAGGGTACACAAGAAAGTTTAATTCAGTTACTTAAGGACACTGTGATTTTGTAAATGTCCAGTCAGATGACACTTCAGATGACACAGGTCATGCTGAAAGCAAAAGAGAAGCTCAGGTTACCCCGAGATGCCTCACTATAAATAGTTTGTACATTAATCAGGTTCTCAAGGTTGTATCTCAGAGCAGTAGGCTTGGTTGGCAAATAAATACCGTTTATAAAAAAAACTGCTCCTTTATCCACACAGTATTTGCTGTCTGCTTTGCCATTTGACTTTTCCACCAACTGTTGTTGTTGTTGAATCCTTGCTGTAATTGCCTGTGATGGTAAAAATGTCCTGCTGGTCATTAGCACGGCTCCTTTGATTCATTGCACCATTTTCTGGCAAGCTTTATTTATCTTTATGGTTTAAAGGCATTGAGATCCTTTTTTAAGGTGGCCCCTTTTCCATAGGTATGGTCAAACTACTTAGGTTTCTTTTGAGTTATTTGTTTTGTTTTGTTTTTCTTTGTTGTTGTTGTTTTGACAGCCACAAGAAGTTTCATGAAGCACTTCTTGTTTTAATTGTTCTTTATTTACTTCATATCCTTTCCAGAAACAGTCCTCTCTCTGCATAATAAATAGAAAGGTGCTTCATAACGAATTTTACTTCTTGTTACTCTATTTTCTTGTAGAACTTTTGGTAGATTTCTTTGCAAAAGCAGAAGCCATTCCCTTGGTTGGAAGATACAGTTGAAGCTAATTTTTTAACAGGCAAGACCACCTGCAAAATCTGAGTCAGTTAAGAATTTTTCTAACCGGAAACATCCCAAACATAATTGTCTTATCAGGATTTCAATGAAGTAAGAGGCATTTATCTACAATTCCCCCACCTGTGCTGTTCTAACCCTTACATGTTGTTGGCATTTCAGGAGTCAGATAATAGGAAAGATAAATGTTTTTGTCCACTGGCTCTATGAACACAGTTGTCAGTGCAGCTCTCTGATACTATGTACTGCTTATAAGCAACTTAATATAGCTGTTAACTTCATCTGGACTCAACTCTGGGAAGATGGATGCAAAGTCCCATAGTTCCCTTTCTCTCCAGATTCTAGTTCCGACCCATTGACTTTCCTGAAACAAGGGAGTTGATGGTCTAGCGCAGCCAGGTGGGGTGCCTGGGGGCTGCCAGTGAGACAGTGTTGTGAGACTCCCTGCTTCTGGTTGGAAGAGAGTCTGGGGACCAGCCTAGAAGAGTCTTAAGGGAGACCCTGGATTGTGTGGATCCTGGAAAATGCTTGGCTTGCAGAGACCCCTGGACCCCGTGGGGAAAGGGCAGCATTGAAAACTCAGTGCTTCTGTATTCCCTCTTTGCCGAGGAGAGAATGACCTGAAATGTGAGGATTTCCTGACTCCTGAAATTTGGACCATGTCCTCTCTATCCTGAGGTTGGGTGGGCATTTGGATGGCAGCTTCACTGACAAGGACAGCTGCTACGCTGTCTACCTTCTCTGGGCGTCAGCCACCTAAGGAAGGCAGTGACAGAGAATCAACTAGCAGATGAGAAAAACAACCCTATATACAACCCTTGATTCAACAGCAATCAAGTGGGAGAGAAATCAAAACAACCAGAATGAAGCTATTCAAGGAGACAGACCCCATCCTGAATGAAACTAAGTAAGAGCGCTGTAAGGAAATTCTAGCAAAGCAGCAAAAAGACCTAGAGGAACTACAATTATGATTTTTCCAGACTAAAAAAGAATGATCTTTGTGGATACTTGAAATCATCCCCTGGAAGAGCAAGTGAGTGAAGCACGTGACCCACACAAAAACAAGTCCTAAAAGATAGAAATCAGAAGGGAGATTAAAAGCAGTTAAAGAATATGCAGAGGAAACCAAACGTGAATACTCGGCAGTCCAGAAGGAGAAAAAGGATGAAAGTGAAACAATAGCTGCTTGCACAGCACATGAAATTTTCCAAGCTAAAGAAAAACCTGCGTCTGCAGATTCAAATGGGCCACCGTGGTCTATGCATAAGAGATGAGAGGAGATAAACAGCAGGGACAATCTGATAAAAATTCCTAAGTCACAGGGAATCTTACAAAGTTTAAGAACGAAGTGATAGAGCCAGAAGATGCTGGAGTAAGATATCTAAAGACGATTAAGAGAATAGGGCTGTGCAGAGTCATCCTTAAAATAGACACACAGAGAATCACCTAATCCATCAAGATAAATTTCTGTTCCAGATACACTCCATCACATTTTCTAATTTATTTCTTCATAGCATTATCAGTCTTCAGAATTTTCATCCATTCCCGTTTCATGTTTATCGTCTGTCTCCCCTACTAGAATGTAAGATGCTCAAACAGCAGGGAACGCGTTGCCTGTATATTTAGCTCTTAAAACAAATATTAATTGACAGACTAGTTTAAGTTTTAGATTTTAAAGCTTTTTTCTACAATATTTTATAATAGGTAAATATTTTCAGTTTAAAGGTGTAGGGTTTTTAAAAGTTGCCTCATATCAGATTTTTACCAGAGAAGTGAATTTTATCTATTTACTTTTTTTGTTGTTGTTCAAAATGTAAGATTTTTTTTAAGGTCTATAGAAATTTTATTCAGGATTTAAACCTTGTAGAAGAAATATGAAAAGCACTGTTCTGATTATATTGCTATTAAAGTATATTCCTTTTTATTCCTTGTTAAAGTAAAAAAATAAACCAAAAAACTCCGAAGCAAGAATGCTGTCTTTTTCTAAAAATATGTATATTTGAATGTATCTCCATCCATTCAAATGAGTGACTGCTGTGTGGGGGGACTAAGTTAGTTCTTTGGTTTATACACATTGATGAAGCGCCTCCTATGTAACCGTGTGGTGCTGGGTGTTGAGGGTTCCCTGTGTGCTCACGGAGCAGCAGAGTGATAGCCTCTCAGGGCTCTTTGTGCTACGAGGCAGGACAGCCTACTGGTAAGGACATAGGCTCCAGAGCTAGGATACCTGGGTCTGAATACCGTATCCCCCAGCACAACAGGAAAGTGATGTAATCTGTCTAATTTTCAGATTTTTTAGAGTGTGATATTCATGATGCTAAACATCTAATCAGTATTTTTATTAAAAACGTATAAAACGTGCATGAAAATGGGGCAGAAGGAAGTGTTCTTCAAAAACCTTGATATAACAAGACAGGCTTAATCAGAACAGAGTTGCCCAGAGTCATTTCAAGAATAGATACCAAGCCAAAAAAAAAAAAAAAAAAGTACACCGCAGAAGATATAAGTGGAGTGAAGGAAAGAATGTGTCAATTGTAAACAAAAGAAGCTTATGATTTTGGAGTCCAACAGGCCTGGAGTCCAGTGCACAATGCCAACAGCTGAGTTAACCTCAGGCAAATCACTAAAATTCTGAACCTAAAGCGTCTTGTCTGTGTGACTAGAATAGGATTCTCATGGCTTCTGTAAGGTTTAAACACAAGCATGCAAATCCCTTAGAATACTGCCTACCGTATAATAAGCATTCAGTAAATTCAGTATTTATTATATTAGTTTTTGAAAAGGCCGAAATGCAAATGTTGGTGTCCCGGTATGTGCAGCACAGGGGAAAGTAGTCTTGCTGCTTTATGATCATGTAGGATGGGTGGATGCATTGTAGTCTGATAACATTTGAACGTTAAAAGTCTACAATTAATTCCCCTTGTTTAGATTTCATGCTTGCCAAGCATGAAATATCTTCTTCACTGTAAAATTATGAATTAATATCTTGACACTCAAACCAATCTCTGTCCCACAGTAGTTCCATATTAACTAAATGCTCATTAAAATGGAGGGGGGTTATCTATGTATAGGGGGCACACACATAGCTCAGTCTGAGTGATAGGTGGACGGTGAAACAGGGAGAAAAGTCAGTGAGGTATGAGAGTTTTCACTGCTGTACGTGAAGAATTAAGAGTCTCTAAAAGCTTTTGAGATACAACCTCTAACATGATAACATCTTGCAGGAACCCTGATCAGTTCATTATCTGACCCATTCTTGTAGAGACTTTAATTATTTCCAGAGAGCTCTCAGTATATTTAATTAGCCATACTTAAAAACTTGTCTTTATTAGCCTGGGATGTCTCACCAGTAGTTGTGGAAAGAGTTAATGGATCTCTTGTAATAAAGATAAAAGCAAAAGGAATTTAACAGCTGAGTATGTATTGCTGTTGCGTTGTCAAGACTTGGAATATTCCATTGTGGCAATGCCCGTTTGCACCTTCACTGTCATCAATCCTGTGGTGTTTCTTTGGCTTCACAGAACACAGTGACGTGGACCAGGAGACGGCGCTGGCAGGTGCACAGGGCTTCCTGGGCTGTCTCTCTGCTGTGCAGGTCAGCCACGTGGTCCCGCTGAAGGCCGCTCTGCACCGCAGCCGCCCAGCCCCCATCACCATCTCAGGACATGTGACGGAGTCCAGCTGTGTGGCCCAGGCTGGCACCGATGCCACATCAAGGGAGAGGACACACTCCTTTGCAGGTGGCCTATGGCTCTTCTTTTACCCAGTCCCAAACACAGCTTGTCCACTGGATATTAAAATCTTTTAATGCTGGGACTCTGTGTTCTCAGGATGGTTTCTTGAAATTGGTTTTGTTTAATTTTCAGTCCTTGCCCATTTCTCTCCTAGATTCTCAATTCTTTATTCCTGTGGACCATTGCATGTGGGCATTGCTTAAGGTTAAAACTGCAGACATCCCACACTGACCTCTGTAATTCTGTTCTGGTTTTAAAAGTTTATGAATTTTTAAACATTTCTTCTTTTTACTCACCGATATCCCCCTCTTCCCCCTTATCTGTCCTTTAACTGCAGATCATTCTGGAACAAGAGACGACAGAGAACCCGTCACTAACACAATCAAGAGTGACTCTGCAGTAATTGGAGGTAGTAGAAAGCATGAGCGAGCTCTTCCTATCATTGCTAATGATGAGGTAGTTAGCACTAGAGAAGCTGTCTGTGGAGAATCTACACATGGCCCAAGAGTTAGGCAGTGAATCCTGAGGTCAGTGGGGTGCTTTATTATTTGTACTGGATTGTCTTATAGAGTCATCCTGAATTCCCAGCTTCCTTGGAGAGTTTCAGTGTAAATAATTTATAATTCACTGAAACATCACACTCAAAGAACGGTTGTTACACTATGATACTAATGAATATCATTTAGCTTGATAATGGCCATCTCCATTCCCTAGGGTGTTCTGACTGGATTTGAGGAAGTGTCATTTTTTGCCTTCTTGGACACATCACTGCTTCTGCAAGGGTTTATGTAAGAAGTAGGAAAAACCTGAGATTAACATTAGAAGCATATATTTAATGTTGCCTTAATGCTTAATCAAGGTGTATACTTCCATGGTTTAGATGCTCCTCTCAGTGAATATTACATTTTTATTTGCATTTTATCAAATACAGAGCTAATGGAATAAGGGTGGTTCATATTACTTTATTATTTTTTTAAAATATATTTATTTTATTTATTTATTTTTGGCTGTGTTGGGTCTTCGTTGCTGCGTGCAGGCTTTCTCTAGTTGCGGCGAGCGGGGGCTACTCTTTGTTGCGGTGCATGGGCTTCTCATTGCGGTGGCTTCTCTTGTTGCAGAGCACGGGCTCTAGGCACACAGGCTTCAGTAGTTGTGGCACGAGGTCTCAGTAGATGTGGCTCACGGGCTCTAGAGCACAGGCTCAGCAGTTGTGGCGCACGGGCTTAGTTGCTCCACGGCATGTGGGATCTTCCCAGACCAGGGATCGAACCCATGTCCCCTGCATTAGCAGGAGGATTTTTAACCACTGCACCACCGGGGAAGTCCCAATACTTATTTTAAATTGCAAAATTAACACAAAAAGTTTTAAATATATCTTCCTGGCAGTAAAACAGCATATTCTCTGAGACATAATTTACTCAAAACCAACCCCCTAACATAAACCTTTTCCTTCCTGATTAATGGTCTTAAGAATGTTATTAATCAGATTATTGAAATGTTAAGTGGCTCACCTTTCCTCCATACTCTGCATATGATATGGACATAAAAAGTAAACAATTATTTTATTGTCAATGTATTGCCAGGTAACGTGATTAGTCGTATACTTGAGCAACTTATGTGGGCTTTATACCTGATTCATTTGGTTCTATTTTTTACACCCTTACTCATGTAGACACTGACTTCCTTTAAGAACTTAGAATTTTATTTAGACAGAGAAGAGTACTGGTCAAATCTTTGTGAGAATATTAACATCCCCATTGCTTTTTCAGTTGCTTTACTTTTTATCAAATTAATGAGGTATAAATTAAAGATGCATAAAATACGTTCCTCATTTAGTCATATAACAAGTGAAAAACAAAAACTAAAACCCTGTTAGAAGAGTAGTTAATAACTGCATGTCTAAAATAAATATATCAATATAGTATTAATACAATCTATGGTAAAAACTCATTTGAAGTTATAGCATTTAAAATGTGCTCAACATTGCAACTTGTTGGGATTCCTAGTCAGACAAATTGTCTCAGTCTCATAACGGTGCTTTTTCTGTGCATTTAACTGGTATAGATATATAGTCAGGATATAGGTAGATAAATATACAGATTTAGATATAAATAGTTATTGTATAGTCAAGCTAATGTTACAGCAAGTATTTAATCTTTGGAATATTGTTTGTAAGTCATTGTATGTTGGGATGGAACACACAATGGGAACAACTAATAAGTGACCTGTGAAATTCTCACTTGACTCAAGTGCACAGAGCAGAGCAAGAATTATGGAAGATTTGCTGCTCGGGGTCTCGCCAGGGTCCACAGATCCAGGAGTGTCTGCTTTTGATCATTGCAGACTGAGCTTCAGGAGCAGAGCAGCTGGTCGTGGCCATCTAAGCCCAGAAGGCCTCTCCTGGGGTCACGCGCAGTTTCTCAGCTAAACCACAGAATACCGTTCTGTAGCGTGTTGCTCCCTCTGCTAGCGTTGTGGTAGAGTTCTTCACTTGTTGTCGTGTTACTCATAAATTGCACCCACTGTGTAACAATAATTAATCCATTTAAGTAGTTTCCAACTGGCTAATTCCCCCGTGTTTTACATTTTAGGTAATCTTTTTCTTCAATTACAAACAGTAAATAAATAAATAGTGTGAGATGGGAAAATTGATTTAATAAGATATTTAAAACTGATGACTCAGACACTGTAGAGGGTTTCTGGCCAGAATACACAGATATGAGTGCTCAGATTTAGACAGAAAGCTACATAATTTCCCCATAAAAACACATTCACCAGTTGGCAGTGTCACAGAGTGCTGTAGATGGCCATATGTCATTTAGAGTATCCTTTTTCCTTTTTTCTTTTTTTTTTTTTTTTTTTTGTATAACAGGTTAGATCAAGGTTTTTCGTGGACATGAGAAACCCTGACATAACACTGTCTCCAGTTAAAAGGGAAATCACATGCATGGAGCAAACCATTTCCGGAGTCCAACCATGATTTTGACTGTCTGGGTGTCCTGCCTGGGCCTGCAGTAGCCTGCCCTCTGTATCTACTTCATCAGCTTTCCACACTGAAATTGTTCAGAATCTCTTTCTTTAAACTAGAGGCCTATAACCAGACAATAGAAATATTTATAGCAACTCAACTGATTACTTTTCTAAGATGAAAGGCAAAATATATAACATCAAATGGATACTCTGATTTAAATTATTCTTTATTAATATGACCAACTATGAAAAATCATATCCATTAGTAAATTCTTCAGATTTCAAGTACAGTACAGAATTTAGTTACCAGGTTTATGTTGGATCTATCAACAAGGAATTGCTGTCCCTCTCAGATGAGGCTGACCTCGCCAAAAATCGGCTTAGCCCCTGGCGATATTATGATTGGCTGTAGTGAATCTGCCCATCAGATCATGTGCTGTGGAATCCATTGTGACTGATGAGGACTTTCGAAGTTTTGGCTTCAGTTGGATTTGTTAGAGTTGTTTATACCTAATTTAAACTAGGGTGAAGAGTCCTTGTTTTACGATATGAGACTCCATCCACATCACATGTTTTCATTGTACCTATTTTCATCTGAAAACACTATATTAGTACCTCCACTGATTTCATCAGAAGAGTCTAAGTACAAGGGAAACTCTCTAACTCATGGTGACAGACAACAGTTTTCCAAATTCTATTTTTCATTTGAAAACTTGGCTTTATCATTGACATCCTACATTGTCAGTTGTTTTTCTTTTCTTTCTTTTCTTTCTTTTCTTTTTAATAAATTTTAAAATTTTTATTTATTTATTTTTGGCTGCATTGGGTCTTCGTTGCTGTGTGTGGGCTCGCGAGCAGGGGCCTGTCCCCACTGCAGTGCGGGGACCCCTTCATTGTGGTGCCTCCCCCCATGAAGCATGGGCTCCAGGCATGTGGGCCTCAACAGCTGTGGCACACAGGCTCAGTAGTTGTGGCACACGGGCTTAGTTGTTCTGTGGCAGGTGGGATCTTCCCGGACCAGGGCTCGAGCCCGTGTCCCCTGCACTGGCAGGCGGATTCTTAACCGCTGCGCCCCCAGGGAAGACCTGTTTTTCTTGAAGTGACAGATTTACTTCATTTTAAAGAAAATGTCTGCCAGATATCCCAGTTAAAACAACCATAGTTTATCTGCCAATCATCCTTTCAAGTAAAAACAGTGTTCTTTAAAGGAAAAAGCAGCTAGTTCAGTTCACAACTCAACTCAGATGTTCACGCTAGCATTCTTCCTGGAGACAACCATCATACTTCACGCTGCAGTAGAAGTACTTTACAAATACTTCCCATGTCATCACACAAAATGTTAGAAGGACTTACGGCCAAAGGTCACGATTTGGTAAAATGCGTAATTTTTAGTGCTTCATCAAGGATATTCTTAAATGAATCTGGTAGTGCAATGCCTGCTTTCTACTTTATGAATTCAGTGACCACTTTTAAAGTTTGGTGGCCTTGCCTTAATTCATGCCAAGGTACCAAGAAGTTGACCTAACCTTGTTTTGTCCTATCAGTGGATATTACAACACAGTGAAAAAGGCATCTCAGAGTTATTATGAATAGTTTTGACCCTGTGGACCCCTCACAGTGTCCCGGGAACCACCAGGGATTCATAGATCACACTTTGAAGAAGACTGGCTTAACGTAATGCCAGGATTGGTAACCATTTGGCATAGCTAACAGTTCTGGTATTTTTTATTTACCACCAATTTTTTATTTACAATCAGGTGTTTCAAAAAATCAATATTCCTCATATAGATATAATTACTCTATGTATTCGTATCGATATATTTCATTAGTCAAGATTATTCGTATACATAACTTGTCCCTGCTATTTATTTAACAATATAACAAATTATTGATAATCAAGTTCATTAAAGTGTTTACATTTAAGGGGATAAATTAGGAGATTGGGATCAACCTATACACACTACTATATATGAAATAGAGAAACAACAAGGACATACTGTCTACCCAGGGACCTAGACTCAATATTTTGGAATAACCTATAAGGGAAAAGAATCTGAAAAAAATAGATATATATGTATAACTGAATCATTGTGCTGTGCACCTTAAGCTAACACAACATTGTAAATCAACTATACTTCAATTAAAAAAGAGACTTCCCTGGAGGTCCAGTGGTTAAGACTCCATGCTTCCCCTGCAGGGGACGTGGGTTATCCCTGGTCGGGGAACTAAGATCCCACGTGCCGCATGGTGCAGCCAAAAATAATAACGATAATAAAATAAATAATAAAAAATGTTTACATATTTAAGTATTAGAAACACATTTGATTATTTTATGATGTTACTATTACTCTATAATTTCAAAATAATTAAAACTTGTCTGGGTATTAATGTGAAGTGACCCCATGGTCTTAGAGTCATGTAGGTAATACCTTGTGTTATTAACATATTGTATATATAAGTGCACTGAATGAATCCAATATAATATGCATTCAGAGTAAATGAAGGTGAACCTACAAGACTGATAGAACTCAGAAGTAAACAACATATTTTGATACCACTTGATCCAGAAATACCTAAGGTTTTGATATTGATTTGAAATTGATATTTCCAATTTATATATATTAGATGCTTGATTTCATTAGAAAATAATTTTATGATGACTTCTTGAACAGTGAAGTCTACAGTTTCTGCATGGACAACAATTCTGATTTTGTATTTCTTTTCTCTTCTCTCACCAGGTTTGATAGCTGTTGTGATCTTTATCTTGCTGTGCATCACTGCCATAGCTGTCCGCATTTATCAGCAGAAAAGGTTATACAGAAGAAATGAGGCAAAAAGGTCAGAGAATGTAGGCAGTGCTGAGGCTGTTTTGAAAAGTGAGCTTAATACACAAAATGCAGTCAGTGAAAATCAGAAAGAGTACTTCTTCTGATTGGCAGCAGTGATTTACCTTATAATTACAGCAGTCTGATTTAATAGCCAGGGGCTCTCAAGGGACAAAAAACAGTTCTTACACTGAATGTACAGGCAATGGATTTGCAGCACTGCCATGTTGCCATGTCCAGACTCGAGACAGCTCCAGGAGGCCTCATCCAGTGACATACTTCCCACAGTGGTCATTCTATATAACAAGGAGTTTTAGATATTGATATTAATTTCCAACTGTTCTGATACGATCTAAAACAGAAGTTTAACCCACTTGAGAGCTACAGGTTTTCAATGTGAAAAGTGTAGCCCTGGCCTCTCAGCCATAAGTGATACCTAAGTTGTGTGAGAGGTAAAAGTCAAAATTGGACTATAATGACCTTGCTTTATTTGAGAACATATTCTGTGTTTGCTTTAGTGTCCCCATGGTGTTATTCATAGACCTGGAAATGCTTCTAAGATCCTGTTTGGCTGGTGTTTGCATCTTCAGTGGCCAAAAGTATATAAACCCCTTTGCCTTTCTCTGTATTGCATTCAATACAATTTATCAGTAGTGTTGAAATATGTTTTGTTGTCACTGGTTTGTTTGTATTGCTCTTTTTCTATTTGACTCTTCTCAATGATTTTGAAAACTTTGGGTTTTGAGTGTCAGGCTCCAGCTCTGAACATGCAATTCATATGTAACAAGACCTACAAAGTGCATTGCTCATCAGTATGTGATGTCTTGCCTTTAACACTTTTCTGTTTAACTTGCTCTCACGGTTCGGTATCAGCAGTAGTTAAGACCCTGGGTAATGCCAGTTTCCCAAAGAGTGTGAAATGTTTTCACGTAAACTCGTTGATATAAAAAACACAATTCTTAACACTTCAAAGAATTGTTTTTATTTACAACTGTAATATCTCAAATGAAATATACTTCCGAGAATATTTTCCCCCAAACCTTATGTCAGTTTTCTTTATAGGTTTATATTTCTATTTTCCTAAAGTTTATCACCCACTTTTCTTTGATCTCCCTTTACTGTATTCCATGGAGCATCTTCTTATGTATTAGAAAAAAGAGACATTTGAAGTGTAGAGCTCCATTCTTCATTCTAAACTGTATCCCCCCGCCCCCAGCTTCAGGCATATATTTTGCTGTGCACTGACATCCAGGATGTACTTTTTGAAATATAAGCTGCACCATGCCCCCTTTTTTCAAATCCAGTAGAGTTATTCAAGAATGCTCCTCCGAAGGGGTGATGGCATATTACATGTCATATTCTAAGTCTGTCGTTCTAGTCACTTCTCATTTACGATGATGGGGTATATTTCTCAAAAAGAACCAAAAATCAATATAACTTACTAACTAGTTCATTTTGATTAGGAGATATATACATAACAGAAGTTCAAATAATTATCAATAACTTTATGAAACTTGCAATAATTACCCTTGAGGCCATGTAAACAAGATGCTTGCATGTAGCTATCTTTGAATTCCACAAGCCAATTGTATAGCAGAGGCACTTTGGAATTTACACTCACACTTTACAGGTGTCTGCCAAGGAAAAACTGGATTCCTTAGTTTGTTCACACCAGAACAATTTGGAAATATGTAAATTAAACATATTTTTCTTTATTTTCCTTCTTGACTCTCCTTACAAAACCTGCCTGTCTTTTCTCACAGCACTATATGCATTTTGATGTTTCTGTAAATGCCCGACTAAATCTCAAGGATATGAATTAACAGTAGTTTATGAAGGACCTATATGGATAAATGGCATTTTTGTTGTTGCTGAAAGGCTTGTGGTAGCTATCAAAGGATTGAACATGAAAATGGTAGTTTTCATTTAATGCAAAGCTGAATACAGACACTGTAACAGCTCTGAATCTTTCACACGTGTTCTTGTTATTTAGTAGCAGCTTTAACCTGGTTGGGAGCTGGAATGTAAACAGGTTTATAGATGGTGAAGCCTCGCAATACTCTGTGGTCTGCCGGCTAGGAACTTCAACATTATAGCATCAAAACGCACTGATACATCATATGCCATGACTTTCATTCCCTGATTTGTAATCTGTTCTTTCTTTTTTCTTAATAAAATGCACTTTTGAAGTAAAATGCAGAATATATTTTGAGATGTTGTATAAAAGTTTAAAATGAGGGAATTATACTGGATTTTTTTCCCTCAAAACAGTAAAAAGATGCGTAAATGTATGCCTTCTTTACTGGTGTTCGTGGTTTTTTTTGAACCTTTTGGTACACCCCATGATTATTATGAATTGTTAACAAAAGCTGCATTTATAACTTTTCCTTTTAACTGGACTCAGAAATGAAAGAAAAAATAGAAGGATGTTTACTGATTGTAACAAGTAAAGGAAGTTAAAATAGATTTTAAGTTTTGCCAAAGAACAATGATTTGACTGTTAGCAGTTGTTTGCTGAAAGGTTATTTTATATTTAAATTGGGTGATATCCTTTTACTTCTGCCGAGAACTTGGCTCATCTATACAGTGAGCCCTGTATAGATGCACAGGATTATATGTAAGAATATAGCACACACTGATGTAATATAAAAGTTTAAAAATTCTTTATTGGTGATTTCAAGTGAAAAAAATGAAAACAATATGTAATTAACATTTCCCAAATCTCATTAAATCCAAATGTGCAATATGCAAATAAAGTGGAGTCAGGGTGGCATATGAAATGAGGGTCACGCATGGAAAATGACATCTTAATTTTGTAGAAACCATGTCCACTCTAGGAAATAGTTCCATTTTTAAAACTCCTTTCCCAAGTGTTGCTCTTTAAAGCAAATTTAATAAATTCTTCGGACGGTAAGTTAAAGACAGCAACCAGAGGGAGAAGCTTTATCTAGACAACCAACCAGACAGAAGTCAAGTGTTCAAATTACCTTTCATCAGACGGCATTGTCCTTCATCTGTAACAGAGCCTGGCGACAGAGTCCGTCGTGCAGCTGGCCGTCGCTGATATATTAGTGTGAACAGCTCAGTTTTACAGATGAAAGGTCTGAGACTCCTATCTGTGAGGTTATATTCCCAAGGGGACATGTAGTCGTATGTAATAAGCGACAAAGCTGTGACAAGAATTTCATTTTCACTCCACATTTTGCTGATCATTATTGCCTTTAAGACCTGGAGTTCTGACAATTATTTAGTGGTGTAGAAAGGATCTTGGTATCCTTTTGGTCCAGCATGACCTATAGTTCTGGATCTTTTCCATATCCTTTTTAAATGAACATAAACCGTTATTTGGTAGGTCGTGGCTGTTGACAGATTTTTCTTTTAAAAAAAATATTTATTAGGCTTATGGTTCTTGACTCTAGGAAAGCTCATTTTAATCGAAACACATATAGTCTTTGCAAAATACTCAATATGAGTTAGATCTGACTGAGTCCTCAAATGTTTTCCTCATGATAGAAGATGACACATCTCATATTAAAGTGTGTAGTTGATTGTTTGACTTTCCAATCCATGTATCAACTAAATGACGAATCTAACTAAATAATGCAATTTTACAGATGCATTCAGTAAGTCCTGCTTGCCTTCTACTTTTCCAAAGTTGGGATGATGGAGAGTGATAACAGGGAAGAAAAAGTTTAGCAGCCGACTGTGTGTTAGGATTGTGTGTGAGTGTACACACGAGAAAGAATACGACGCGAGGAGCAAGGGAATATGAACATTTTGCATATAATGTGGTAAGAGACTTGGACTTTTGATGTATCAATAGCTTCCCTGGAGCCTGGCTTTGAAGATTTGCAAATGCAAATAAAATGGGATGGAAAACAGCCTGACCCACAATTATAATGGCTTCTCAGGTGAAATCATTTTTTTATTCTTTTCCCTATTTATAACGTTAAATTTAAAAAATACATGCATATATTTTAAAATTTAAATAGTATTCAATACAAGAAGTCTTACAAGGAGAAATAGCTCTCCGTTGCCATATCCCCTGCCATGTCACTTTCAGCTCCTTTAGCTGTCTCTTTTTAGCTATCTCCATGTTTCTCAATTATATGCTGTAACAGGCTGGGTTCCCTGGAAAGCAAAGTCTTAAGACAGAGATTATCGTGAAGGAAATTTATTAGGGAATATTGTAGAGATCAGCGTCTGTTGGGGAAAATGGGGCAGATGGAGAAGTTGGTACAATCACAGCAGAGACTCAGCCAGCCCTGTTGATGTGGCCCATTAAAGATGTCCTGAATTGGGGTGAGAGGGCTGGGCATTTTTACTCCTGTATCATCCAGGCATTGGGTATTGACTGCTTGGTGACCAGGGCATGAACTTGGACAAACAGCTCTCTTCAGCTTAGGTAGTTCCTGAAGAGGGAGGATAGACCTCCTCAGCATCTGGGGGATCTGGGTGGCACAGTGTACCATCCCTGAGGGTCCACCCTGTGCCTCTCAGACCCACCTGCTTCCTGTGAGTTCTGGGAGCAGCTCCTTCAGGACTCTGGTGGGCCTCGTTGCCCTGGGGAAACTTACACCAGGAAAGAGGGTAGAACAGACCACAGACCCTGCCCCTGCAGGGGGTCTCATTAAAATTTAAAGAGTATTCAATACAAGAAATCTTACAAGGAAAAATAGCTCTCCATTGCCATATCCCCTGCCATATCACGTTCAGCTCCTTTAGCTGTCTCTTTTTAGCTATCTCCATGTTTCTTAATTACATGCTGTAACAGGAGACTGTAACAGGAGAATGAGCTGGGATTCATTCTCCCCCTCCTCTACAACCCATACCAGACTCCCATATCGCGAGCTGACAACTCTGCAAAGAGTTGGAACCCTTGTCTAGTATAACCTTTCCAGGCTGCAGCTGCTGTACTTTTGCATTTACCATTAAAATTGGTCAAAGGGGTATCTACCTGCCAAACATATTCTTCCTGCCCCCATAGCGTAACAGCAGCTCTGTCTATTATTACCGATCAGGACAGTTCCCCCTGACGTGACCTCCCATGTTAACACTGCACTAGCTAAAGATCCGCGTTACAGCAAAGGGTGCGTGAGAGTGATCAGATACTGTGGGATATGCTGGTCCTTCCATATCACACCATCAGAAGCTCTTCGTAGACACTCAAAAGGTGGTGTTGGCTGATGCCTTGCAGGCAGTAAAGGCAGCCCATACCTGAAAGAAGTAATGATGCTAATCAAAAGTAATCTCTGTCCATTTCAGGGTAGAAAAGATCTGATGTAGTCAGCTGGCCGCAAAACTGGTGTCCTTGTAGAGGGGAATCTTTGTGGGGAATGAGCGCGGGCCTCTGCTGCTGACCATCTGAACACTCAGGAGTGGCAGTAGTGACAACAGTCCTGATGGATGGGAGCTAACCTGCTTCCATTCCTACCTCCGTGGCTACTCTGCTCATACTCCCATTGTACCAGCACTTCAGTGGTCGGTGATTGAGTGGTTGATACCAGCTGGCTAAGCCCTTCTGTCTACTTGGTTGTTAGTGATTATTCCACAGCAGCATAAGCTTTCTGGTGGGCAAAGATCTTGACATGCATGCCCACCTACCCATAGGTCCATCCACATGCTTCTACCTCGGACCTCCTTGTCTCTGATCTTCCAAATCTCCTAGGTCCTGACAAACTGACCAAATTACTGCCTGTAAGTCCATATATATTATAACCTTGGGCCATTTCTTTCATACCAAGTGAGTGACTGGGGCCACCATCCAAAAATTCTATTCATTGGGTAGGTCTCTCCTCGCCACTGTCTTTCTATGCTGTCCTGATTGGGACTCTGTAGCGGTGCTACCTTTCAATGGCAGCTTCACCCACATTCTGAATCATCCCATCCATGCACCAAGCTCACTGTTTTACCTTCTTCAGCAGTTGGTAATAAGGGACCATTCATGCAACCCTAAGTGTGGGCCAAGGGAAACGTGCCAGGGAAGATCAGTGGAGAACAGGGGGGTCCGGGCTAGTGCCTGTGCAGATGACTTGTGCCTACTAATGCTTGATCCCAGACGCACCATTTCATAGTTATGCCAGCCATCCTGCTAACGTTGTGACGTGGTGATTCTGACAGAACCCAGATCATTATGGACAATTTTGACCACACTTGATGTCCCAGTGTGAGGCTCTTCATCTCTAGCAGGGCTCAGTAGCATGCCAGGGGATTTTTTTAGAGAGTTGGGTATTTCTCTGCTGCAGATGACATGGCATTGCTTCCAAATCTTGAATTTCTGCAGTGTATTATTCCCATTGGTGACTGCCGGTGAAGTCTGCATGGCATCTTCTTCCATCAATGATACCACTAAGAGCATAGGGTCTACAGAGTTATATGGTCCAAGAGGCAGGACCACTTGTCTACTGTCTGGACCCACTGTAAAACCGTTTCTTGCTCTGAGCCCCATTCAAAACTAGAGGACTTTTATGTTACTCAATGTATGGTCACAGTTCTATTCTCCAGTGTGGAAAAGGTTGCCTCTAGAACCCACTGAAGCCACCCACCCCCTTCCCTCTCGCCACTGGGAACCACTAGTTTGTTTTCTATATCTGTGAGTCTGTTTCTGTTTTGCCTACCACACCCCCATTTACTGTATTTTTCTTCATCCAACTAGCCAAATATCCTTTACTCCAGATTCTTTTTGTTTGAACTTTTCTAGAGAGAAACCTGTATTGAGGTGTTCTTTATGCTTTTCTGTGTAAAATGCTTGGGAGACCAGAGCACTGTCTGTCCCCATATTTCCTGTGTTAGGTATAGAATGTCTGGTCCATTTCTTTGCATAAATTTGTCTCACTTTGCATGTATGGATGCAATGCAAATAGTGAATCTAGCCGGAGTGGACTCTGGGCTCCTCCCTTGGCTCTAACCTCCTTCTCCTCCTGAGAAAATATTGGAAATTCTCACAATTTGACTTTCTCATCGTCTTCACATGCCTCTTAGGAGCTCTAACCATTATGTTTCGAAAAGTCATTAAATTAGTAATATCTATTTTATCAAGCCACAAACTAGCAAGACCAGTTCTTATTATAATTCCTTGTGTCATGCCAGACTAATTTGTGTTTGCTCGTAATAAAATAATGTTCCTTTTCAATGTGCTGATCCTAGACATGGCTTCGTGCCCATTGAACTAACATATCTGCTTCCAAGCTGTTCA